CGGTTGAAGTATCACTACATCCGTCATCTTCTAGAGATAGAGGCATTGCAGCTTGTGAAGATTCGTGTGAGTGAGAATCCAGCAGACATGTTTACTAAGGTGGTGACCTTGGATAAGTTGAAGCTTTGCATAGCTTCAATTGGCCTTGGTACTTGAAGTTGAAGGTCGGCGCTACCATGCTAACAAGGGAGGATTTGAAGAAGACAGTCTCAAGGTAGGAGATTGTAAGGTGTTAGAGACAGTTTCTTAATTTATTCTTGGAAACACGTTTCTTAATTTATTTTTGGAAACACATCCTAATTTAATTAGGGGTTATGTTGCTTTGGGAACAAGACACTGCATCTCTATAAATACCACTCTCCTCTGTTGTAATCTGTATCTAGAAAATATTAATAACATTCCTGGCTTGGTAGCGCCCCCAGACGTAGTCCTCTGTGGCGAACTGGGTTACCAAATTTCGTGTGTTCTTTAATTGTTCTTCGTGTTTGTGAGTTAAATTCCTAACAGGATCTCCCTTTATGTGCTCAGTTTAAAAAGGCAGATTTTTGGTTGCAAGTTATTAAAGTGAAATCGCTTAGGTTCCTTTATTAAAGTGGATGAAAAAACGCTTTATGAAATTCTTATATGTGAATTAGGGCGACTCTCAACTTTGAAAAACCCTCTTAAAAAAGAGTTACAGTTGCGTGAGGGGGAGAGTTGAGTTTCTGGGTTAATATTCATGAGAAACTTCATAGATTCCACTTCTCTTGTGGGATTATTGGTAATGCAAAAATAATAATGTCCCTGCCTAATTGGCAAAGGAGAGGATGGGAGCACTAACTCATTTGGGTCGTGGCTTAGAGCCCCTCGAGGTGGGGTCAGGGGCGGAGCCAAGGGGGGGTCAGGGTAGTCAGCCGACCCCGCTGAAAGTTCAAGAATGTAGAGCTCTGAAATACCTTTGATTTGATATATTATGGGTCTCGTAACTCATTACGAGTAAAAAGTTATGACTTCTGGAAAAATAAGCACCATCTTAACTTGAAATAAGTAAAATTTGATGGGTGACGTTGAGTATATTCTTAAATTTAAAAATAATACACCTTATTCAGTCTAAACATTATAATACATTACTTATATATCAATACATTAATCGAAAATACTCATTAAACTACCATTTATCTCGGTTACATATTAAACATTTAACTCAAGTATTGTATAATAACTATCCATCATTTTGATACTGTATATAATTAAATTCTGACCCTCTCACACAATTTTCTGGCTCCGCCCCTGGGTGGGGTGCATTCAAAAGGTAACAGGTGGATTGTTTCGGCATTGGATGATAGTAGGAGCGATTAGATAAGTCACGGGACAGAGGTTGCTGAGGAGAATGATCACAAAATAATGGTACAAGGCAATTTATCTACCCGAGAACTAAAATCTGACCAGAAGAGGAAGAAGATCGAAGAGGAGCCACATGTTGATTCTAGCAACGATTTGGAGGTGGAGAATGCCTGCTTCAAGGGGGGGGGGGGGGGCATCTAAAAGTGGCTCTCCAGACTGAAATTAAGGATACTGCTTGGCAGGAAAAAAGAGGAAGGAAGTTTGGTTGGGCATTGGACTTTTCTTATTTTCATTATTTGTTTATGTTATTGCTACAGAGTATTTCTTTTGTTATGTCGTACTCTTTTATTCGGACAATTATATTGTGGGTGGAGTTGAACTTTGAGGTTTATGTGGGTATGGATAAGCTTAATTATCCTTTTACTCTCTGCAAATATGACTCACTTTGTTTTAAGTCCCGCAATTCTTTTTTTGTTTTTCATACCTGTAATATGCAATATTTTGTTTATAGTCCATCACTAACTCCTAAACCACTCTGTTTAGGTAAAAAAAAATTGACAGTTACATAAACCTACTAAAAATGTTTAAATTTATGCTTTTACAATTTTTTTGAGGCTGATATGAGAGTTAAAACTAGGGATTGCAACGGGGCGGATCGGGGACAGTTTTACATATAACCGTACCCGCCCCATTTGGTAATTCCCCCGCCCCATAACCGCCCCATTACCCAACGGGTAATTTTTATCCAAACCATAACCGCCCCAACGGGTAACGGGTATAACCGCGGGTAATCGCTTTATTAAACGAGTCCTTTATATTTTAATATAAAAATAATATTTTAAAAGGAGAAAATGACATCAAGACTATTAAGATCTATTATAAACTTTCATTCATACACTATAGTTAGTAAATTTATTATTCATATATACACAATGAAAATAGAAAAATATCATCTTTTATTAGTTGTGGGACAAATAATAGATAAGAATGTAATAAAAATATAATTAAAAATAAACGGGGCGGGTACGGGGCGGGCATGTATAAAACCATAACCGCCCCTTTACCCGTAAAAACAAAACGGGTATTCCCCGCCCCGTACCCGTTACCCGGTTTTCCCCGTTTTGACCGGGACAGTTCGGTGCGGGTATCCATCGGATTGGTCAGAATTGCCATCTCTAGTTAAAACAATTTAAAACTAATTATTCACATTTCTAAATTATGCATAAAAAAATCTTCAAAAACTAAAATTTTAAAATTTTAGAATAACATGACAAAGGATCATAGAAAAACCTATTAGTTGGGCTTGTTTCGTGTCAAGCGGAGGTTGTTATCACCAGTGATGGACTAAAATGAAAACCAACATAAATTCCAGGGATGAAAAACAAAAAAATAACTTTGCAGGGAATAAAACAAAATGTAATATATTTGCAAAGACTAAAAACATATTTAAACTATATGGATATATGTATTTTGACTTTTAAGTCGATCGCTACTTCAAAATCTCTCGCATGTCCCATAAAGAGTGTTGCTTTCTATAGAATGATTTTTTTATGTCGATCAGAGAGTGAGATAGTCACAAGTGTTATGAGGTGTCTTTCAATTCGTGATTTTTTATTAATAAAGATCAAGCATTCTCCTTTCAAAAGAAAAAACTTATTTTATTATAAAAAATCAAATTCAACAAATTGAGATTTGCCAATTGATACTACTTCTGCATGTTGTAGAAGCAATTATTGCAAGACAGAAGGATACTGAACATCTCAACTAATTTTTATAGATTTTAACTAGTGAATAAGATTTTTATAAAAGTAGACTAACAAAACCAGAATAAGATTAAAAAATAGGCTAATAAAATGAGACCGTATGGTACTATGGTCCATTAAAAAAACATGGCTTAACGATTGGTAATTCTATTCTAAGCCCCCATTTTACTATTTAGAGTCACAAAATTAAATAATAATAAATTAAATAAACTCAAATATCCAAATTGCCCTTATTATTTATATAGCAAGACTCACCAGTTCAGACTTTTTACTGATGCATCTCCATTTTCATTCATCCAAGTAATCCAACAAAAGCGTATCCATGTTGAAGTGGTGGCGTTCTATGGCTGTTGACCTGTTGTCAGCCACAACTTAAGAAACGTGACAGCGGCGCTGAGCCGACAATCACATTTCACCATTGAGTCCATCCCAAGAGAAGTCACATGGAGCGGAGATTGACCGGTGCCAGTCCGAACCCAGGCCGGGTCGGGTACGGTTCTAATTTTTTTTTTTCCTTGATTATTTTATCCCCTACCCCCCCCCCCCCCCCATCCCACAAACCCATCTGAAACACCCATTGCAGCCCATTTAAACCCAACCCAAAGCCCCAAAACAAAAAAAATAAAATGAAAAGGCCCGAACTGGGCCCAGAACCGGCCAGGCCAGTTCTCAATTCCCTAAACCCGTACCCACCCCCGGTTTCCCCTTCAACCGGGCCTAGACCCGGTACCGGTACCCGGTTCCCGGGCCAAGCCGGCCCAAACAGTACCGGGCCGGGCCAGTTCCTGGGCCGGGTCGCCCAAACCGGGTGGCCCAAACCGGGTCCAAGCCTACTAGGGACCGAGTGCAGGGCTGTATCCCCACCATCACCTTTTCACAAAGCCACAACCAATCAACTCCTAACGACCCGAAATCCATCGCTGTAACGACCTGTCTCACAGAAACACCCAAACACGTTCTTTTGACTGAGAGAAACTAAATCAAGACCATTCTCGATTCCATACAACTTCCGTTCTTTTTCTCCACCATTGCGATGTTCTCCTTTAAACCTTTGCAACTTTTTCTGTATCTATATTAATTTCACTTGGACCTTTGCTGCAGTAATGTTCTTCATAGTTCTGTCCTTTTTTGAGCTTAGGGTTGGACTCGGGTCAGGTGGCCCGACCCAGAACCAGCCCGAACCGGCACTGTTCCGGCCCGGCCCGGTGGCCCGGTCAATGACCGGTTCAGGTAGGCCCGACCCACTAGGGTTCCGGTCCGGGCTCGGGCCCCTAAACGTGAACCAGACCGGACGGTTCGGGCCCGATCGGGGCCATTTTATTTTTTTTCTTTTTTTTTGAATTGTTTTTAAGTTTTTGGGTTGGGCCGGGTATTTTGGATATTTTGGGTCATTTGAGATGGTTTGGGATGGTTTGGGGGTGAGGGGGGTGGTTAGGGGTTAATTAGAAAAAGGCAAAAAAAAAATTGAACCGAGGCCCGGCCCGGACCCGGGGGTTACCCGGGCCGGTTCCGGGCCTCCCCTTTCCTGAACCGAGGCCCGAACCGGCCCGGGTCCATGCCTAATCAAAATCGTATCTTTTATTTATTTGAAGGGGATGAACCGGATGATGGACTGATGGAGTTGGGGTGAATTTCATCTCTTGTCTCGTGGCTTCTCTTCCGAACTGTGTTACGCATTGAGGGTATAATGGGGATATAAAAACTATTTTCTGTTCCGAGAAATCGGTGTGTGACTAGCAAATGACGGAGTGCAAATAGAATTTCCACTTAACAATCTAATTCCGGGAAACTTGGATTTCAATATTGTGTGCCACATGGTCATGTTAGTGTGGTAAAAGAAACTATCAAACATGGAGAATCAACAAATCAAAGCATTAAGTTACTAAATTGGCGAAGTAAAGTATTAAGAATTTAGGGGGCAATCGATAATTCTACTGCTAACAAGATGCATCATAATAAGTGCAAAATCATTTATAGTACACCAAGTTGGACCAAATAATAAATATACTTAAATATTTATCAAAATTACTTGACAATAAAACAACATTTTACAAATTGAAAACTTATTCTAACAAAAAAATGCACATTTTCTAATGTAATTTAAATACCCTATGAGCTGTGGAGAGAATCTATCGCTGCAGGTCGTATTTGTTAGTACCCACTGGATACAACAACTTGGTGCAAAATCCCACCACTGCTAGGAAAAATAATTATTACTACAGAACTGTTTTAATAAAAAGAATGTTAGTGAGGACAAGGAAGATTCTATAAAGACCAAAATGAAATTCTTTAAAAAGCAAAAAGATCGAGTTGAAGTGAGCATACTATGGCATCCTAACTTCTGTCAATTCTCTCAGCCAGGTGGAGTTGTCTCCATGGCGATCTCTGCCTTGCACGCAATGGAGTAAAAATGTGCATCTTTTCAGCAAGCACTTTGTCCACATCTCCAAATGACCATTTACGTAATCCTCTTACATTATTCAAAAGCCAAATGGCGACTTTCTCCTGCTCCCACCTTCACCATACTGTTCGTTCCATTTTCTTAGTTCATTCATGCTAGTTGCGTCATATGCAACTGAAGGTCCCACCTGAACATCATTAACATTATTTAATTTACAGGAGGGTGAAGGGATGTGTAATCAAGTACTCATATTCAAGTCAAGGCTTATATTATTTGCCTTGGTTTTTGATTGAAAAAAGTCAGCTAAATGGAGTGGCCTCAGAATAGAATTCCCATCAGCTCTGCTTCCCTGTGTACCAAATATCATTCTCAGTTTCTCAAAAACTATCAGATGGCCAGCAAGTATTCAGCAAAAAATAAGTACAAAGACCAGAATCCATTTAACATGCCAAGAGAAAAAACATCAGAACCTTTACTCGCTTCTTAATCATGTTTTCACTTTATGTAGTAGCTATTTACCTAATTGAAATCCTAGAAACCTACTATAAACTATTTTTTCCTTGAATTCTATACTCTAATGAGTCTTTTACTAAATACTAGAAAACTACAAAGCCAACTAAGAGCAGTAGTGACACAAAGATATTACATGTGACAGCCTCCCTTAGATATAGAGGAAAAGTAGGACATTTACCGTCATTTCCTCCACAAGAAGTTCCTGAACAGGTCTATATGCTGCTGCAATACAGAGGTTCTACAAAATAACAAGCATAAGAGTATTCCTTATATGCCCATGTAAATGAATAATTAAGACGTAAAACACCGAGTGAGGGATGTATTACAGTTCAAATGTGAAAATACCTTCAAATCACTTCCTGAATAACCTTCAGTTGCATTTGCCAGTTGCTCAAAAGAAAAGTTCGCCTCCAAATTTTCTTGAGACAGAATTACTTTAAGTATTTTTAATCGATTTTCGGCATCTGGAAGGTCCACATAGATCCTATATGGTAACAGTCATCTTGCCAATTACTTTGGTTTAAGAGCCAGAAAAACAAAGTACGTAAAAGTTTATAAACTTAGACCCAGGGAATTTGAAAAAGAAAAAACGGTAAAAAAACCTCACCGTCTAGGTAAACGACGAATAACAGCATCATCAAGGTCGAATGGACGGTTTGTTGCCCCAAGAATTAGGATCAGTTGGCTATCTTTTGACCTCAAGCCATCCCAAGCAGACATGAATTCATTACGCATTCTTCTCGTTGCCTCGTGCTCAAAGGCACCACCACGAGCACCTAGCAAACTATCAACCTACATGTGCAATTGTGCATGCAAGAAATTGGATGGAACAACATATCAGCACTGCAAATATATAATGAACAAGATTTCTTAGGTATCTACCGGCCTACAGGGCCAGTTGGACATTTATAGCAGAAAGGGCATACCTCATCAATGAAGATAATTACAGGTGCCAGTTTGCTTGCAAAAGAGAACAGTGCCTTTGTTAGCTTTTCAGCATCTCCAAACCACTGTACATTCCAAACCACTGTACATTACTACCCTTATTAACAAAAAGTAATATCCACAGCCACAACAGACAACAGGCATCACAAGCAAGGAAACACTGCTTCAGTTAATGTCTTGTTGTACTGCAAGCAATATATTTTAACATTCGCATTTAACAAGCCATCAGGTCATACATCTAGTAGCAACAAGCGATTGATTCATTGATTGAATGTTTGAACGTAAGAAAAAACTACAGAAACCCAATGACAGTCCTAGCCGATTATGTACCTATATGACAAGAACTAACTTTCGAGATTTCTAGATCTTTGAGTGTCTAGAAGGCCCAAATACGAGGGCAGACTTAATGATACATCAGGCCGTGATTTCTTATGTTACGTGGACTGGATCCAAGAGATGAAGAAGTTTGATTAGTGAAACTTCAATCCAAAGGGGGATAATCTTTTGGTCTTTCAATTGATTAAATACCTCAATTTAGTTATGAAAGCCTTAATTTGGGATCAGGGGCCCACATTTGTGACTTGACTGCAAAGAAAGTTGAAAAACAAATCTTTCAGGCTTAGAAAAGAAGGTACGATCCTGCAGATGAAGCCTCTTTAGCTGTACATCGCTTGCGGCTTAAACAAACATGACCCGTGAATATTATTACTACACTCACTAGGATAATATGGCCTCCCTTATTCCTTGTTGCGCATGAGTAGATACTACATAAGTGTGCGTGCAACCTTATTTTCATGGGATTAAAGGGATGATGATGATGATGATGATGATGATGATGATGATGAAAAATACCCCAATCATGTTTAATACGCATTACCTTTTTTATTGTTTTAGTAAAGATTTGATTTCCCTGATTGGTTAATCGAAAATACTTATCAGATTTACCCGTGTTTGGAACATAAAACTAATACTACCTCCGTTCCAAAAAAAATCTCACTTGCCCTTTTAGAGTTTTAGGATGTCCCAAAAAAATCTTCTAATTCCCTTTTAAGGAATGGCTTGTGTGGTTAACATTTATTCACTTTTTTCTACCTCAACCACACCCATACATTTCCACTTTATTCTCGCATTACTAATAAGCATGGAGACAAAGTGGGAAGAATATTTGGGACGGAGGGTGTATATCATTAATGCTCCAAGTTTCAAATAATAGCTTCTACCTGATTGGTATTGAGCTAGTGGCTATTAACTACTTGGCGGAGTTGGAGCTCGCAGTCCATCACACCATAAATCCCTCAGGTCAACACGAAGGTACTAAATAGTAGCATTACATTTGAACTTCAAGCAGTAAAATAAACCAGAGAACTCTAATAAGCAGCATAGTGAAAATTACCTTAGAAGTTAATGAGGAACCAGTGACACTCATAAAATTTGCCCCAGCCTCTGTTGCAAGTGCTTTTGCAATAAGGGTTTTCCCGGTGCCTGGTGGCCCAAATAGCAATACCCCTTTGCAAGGCTGGAATAGATTCATCACTATTAATGAATTATCTTAGTTTTATCTTAGTTTTATCCTTATCGGTTAACTTTTCCTTCAGATTTTAGTTGAATCAGGTAACGGTGGTTATTCAAACAAAACATACCCGCAACAGATTTCCATGTGAGAAGAGCTCTGGTCTGCGCATAGGTAGAATGACAAGTTCATTCAGAGCCTTTTTCACATCTTCAAGGGCACCAACATCATCAAACCTCACTCCAATCTCACCAGGGGGAACAACTGCTGATATAAAGTTGCTCTCGTACTCATTCTTTGCAAGACTCTGCAAAATGTAGATATGTTACCGCAAGCATCTACAAAACCAGCTTTTACATTTTCAAATGTAATAACGGTACGGTACCTTCAGACCATGTGAAGGCTTTTTTGACATTGCTTCTTGTTCTTTTAATCTCAAAATTGCAACTTCAAGGCTTAAATAGCAAAGAAAAGCAAGTAACTTCAAAGTTAGTTGTGGCAGGAAAAGAAGATGCGTAAACATATATCAAGGTACCTTTCACAAAATAAGATACTCAGACATATATCAAGGTACCTTTCACGGGGCAAGTACAATCTGTCTCCTTTTATAGATGGTTCTATGCACGATGACAAATAATGATTTTTGGCCCAGCCCACAACTTTCTCTGCTTCTGAAGAAAGAACTTGATTTGTTAGGAATAAATTTTTAGTTTCACTTCTCAGCAATCTACATAAACCAACACTGCTGGACTCTACAATCAGATCCAACTCGAGAAAGAAGAAACAGGAAACACACACTTTGCTGTACACTCCTACTAACTAACATCAATGAATATGTATATAATGACTCATTTAAAAGAGAAGAAAACCAGTCTTTCCAATCTAGCCATCTGTAATGGGCACTCAGGCACTGTACATGTTTCTCCAAAGAGTGATAAAGAACCTTTTTTTACCTCGACTATTGAGTAAAAGTTTTTCATTTCCGACTGTTCAGTGTGCTCACATTCAAATCTCGGATCACCAAAGTTGATGTGTCTTTTATCACCCGACGTACGAAGAACATCAACATGTCTTAGTGTCTTGTAGGCTTGTAGTTTGCATGATTAAGAAACGGCTACACTCAAGTGTAAGGTGACAATGTTGCGAATATCTTCAGATATCCACTGCCCCCCATGTCCATCCACTTTGAATCCTTAAAATCTTCTAATTGTTAGGGTCGAGCATCATATACTTGAGATTGTTGTCTAATATATAAGTACTTTTAACATTCCGAGTTCCATTTTAAAAGGTCAACCTGATATGAGCAAGTTCAACTAGGCTGATATCTTATATAGTGTTTTATTACTTTATACCAATCCATTGTGGGGGTATGGAACAAATACTTCAACACATTCCTCAACCCAAATCGAGTTGGACAACATCGAGGTATACAAATGGGTCAAACAAACCTTAACGAGCTACCATTAATCATGGGTGGCAAACAACTACCAAACCACAACTAATTCTGGCTCTGAATCCTCTGATACAATGTTAAGATTCGGAGATCCATACTTTCATCCCAAAAGATTAACCTGATAGAAGGAATAACCATGGTTGTCATGGCAGCTAGGCGCGGCGCGACACCAGCCAACTACCTTATTGCCTAGGCATTAAGGCAACAACTAGGAAACAAGTCATGCCATTTCATAATATATATACTTATATATAAAAATAATACAAATTAAAATATATATTTACTTCTTTACTCATTATTCAAACCGAAATTTTAATAATATCGAGTAAGTAAAGAATTAAACCATGTAGTCCAACTGGACTCAACTAATCGGCATACTGACGACGATAAAATATAAACAAATCAGGGCATTGGGCTTAGTGACACAAAGGCAAGAACACAAGTTGGACTTTGCGACAAAGAATAAGAAATGAGGTCAGGCTTCGCGAGAGTAGACAATGGCGGAGCAAGGACCTGCGTCAGCGGCCGGTGGGGCGATCTGCGTTGGGGCCTAGAGGGGTGACCAGCGTCACCATCCTGTAGGACAACTTCCATCGGCCGCCGGTGGGGTGACCACCGATGGCTTAAAGGATTAAACGTCGCATATTTCCAAGTTGGGTCAACAAAATAAACTATATCTGGACGCCAACTGATGACCCCAAGTCGTTGTAGCAAAACGCCTAGGAGGTTTCAGGTTATTCGATTGACTATGGCGGTTCACCTCCATCTCCATGACGCCTAGTCGTTGACTAGGTTACACCGTCATAACACTAGAAGCAGCCTGATATCTTATATAGTATTTTAATACTACGGACTTTATATCAACAAGTATTAAATAAGCCACACTTTTTGAGGATTTTTTTGAGCTAGTCCAGCCGAATTTAATATGGTATCAGAGTCTTATATGCTCGCTTGTTTGGCATACCATTGTTTGAGATAAACTGTTTGGGATCGGTTTGACCCATTCATCACCCTTTCAAGTTGTCAAGTTCAATTCGGACTAAGGGGCGTGTTTGTGTCTGATATAAGTTTCACATAAATGTTACTTTTTGAGGATCATTTTGGGTGAGATAGGCCCAAGTTGATACAAGATCAACATACAACAACATCCAAGCCTTAATCCCAAAAGATTTTGGGATCGGCTAACATGATATCGATGCCAAAAAGAGAAGACAAACAAGAAGAAAAAAAAGGATAAAACGAATAAGATAGAGATAAATAAATATAAGATAACAATAACATAAGAATATAAGAAAGATAAAAGGATTAAAAGATAAAAGGAGAATAAAAAAGCTAAAAGATAAAAATAACATAGGAACATAAAAACACAAAGAAGATAAACGATAGAGCAAAAAGAGCGAGGAAAAATAGAAAAGAGATCAATCGTCCACACGAATGTGCGCCTTCCACTTTGCCATCTCCAAAGCAATACTCTCATCCAACCCAAAAAGACGCATATCAGTTTTGATTCTTCTAATCCAAGTTTGTTTGGGTCTTCCCATCCCCCTCCTTTCTGTCTCTTCACCCCACCCCTCAAGTCGTCTAACATGTGCATGACTCGGTCTTCTACGCACATGCCCAAACCACCGCAAACGAGACTCCTGCGTCTTTTCGTTTATAGGTGCTACTCTCACCTTTTGTCTAATTATCTCATTCCTCAAGCGGTCTTTTCTGGTATGTCCATACATCTTACGCAACATACGTATCTCTGCCACACTCATCTTTTGAATGAGACATTGTTTCACCGCCCAACACTCTACGCAATACATTAATGCATGCCTAACTGTTGTTCGATAAAATTTACCTTTCAGTCTAGTCGGCATACCTCGATCACCTAGAAATCCTGTTGCACTCTTCCATTTCATCCACCCAGCTTTGATTCTATGGGATACATCTCCATCTAATTCACCATCCTTCTGAATTATGGAGCCCAAGTAACGAAACATATAAAACACGACATCTCCTTACCATCATGAGTAATCCCACTGTTGCTACTACTTCTACCTCCACAAAACTTGTACTGCATATACTCAGTCTTGCTTCGGCTCAGTCTGAAACTCTTAGTCTCCAAAGTTTGTAGTCATACTTCCAACTTTGCTTTAACACCCGATTGTGTCTCATCAATCAATACAATATCGTCGGCAAACATTATGCACCACGGTATATCTTCTTGAATTGACTTCATAAGTTCATCCATGACTATAGCAAATAAGAAAGGACTCAGAGCCGATCCTTGGTGCACTCCGATAGTAATAGGGAACTCTGCGGTCCTCCCTATACTAGTACGAACACTCGTAGTACAAGTCTCATACAGATGCATGATAATATTGATATACTTACGTGATATGCGTTTTCTAGTTAAGGCCCACCAAATGACTTCTCGAGGTACCCTATCATATGCCTTTTCTGAGTTAATGAACACCAAGTATTGCCCAAAGTCAAAGTGTTGTTCAAAGTCATACCAAATAATCAAGTATGAGCAGTTCCTTAGGCTAATATTTGCAAGAAATTTAATTGTTCCCAGGGGTTGTTTGACCTCTCTTGCTCCACAAGTTAAAGATTTAAGGAAGTTAATATCATTGTTTGAGTGAAGATCAAGTTTTGAAGTGTTGTACAGAATATCCAAGTTTTTTAACAAGATTAAGAAAATGTGATTTTCTAGAGAAGTTTATGTAATCTGGTAGTTTTGAATGTTAATTATTGTTAGTGGCACAATCCATTTACATGAGTCACACAGCTCGCACAACACAATTGCTCATGCTATTTTAAGAGTCTTTCCCTCATTAGAAGAGACAGAAAGAAGGTATGTTTGAATGATATTGCCAAAAAATAAAAGAAGTTTGTTAGTATTGGATCAGTCTTTCAACATATCCAAAATCACGTGCCCTAAAGATAAAATAAGTTTGTTAGTTTGTTGATGATGATGTGTAGGTTGACAAGTCCAAAGCAATAAGGTGAAGCCGGAACAATATAGACAAGAGTTACAATCACGAATTAGGTTAAGTCGTTGAAAATCATATACTACCTCCGCTCTCTTTTAGTTGCAACATTGGTGATTTTGCACTATTCACATATTCTAATTTGATTACATTTCATTTTTTAATGTATTATAAATTAAATTTTTGAAACATATTGTTAAATTCCTGTCATTTTAAATTTACAAATCTGAAATTTTTAATGTTTTACTAATAAGGAATGAAAGATATTAATGGTCAAACTTGTGCGTTGGCAAACGCACCAAGTGGACTGTTGCAATTAAAAAAGAGCAGAGGAAGTATTTTGAGTGCAAATGTAGAACTATTAATCAATGATGACCATTTTTAAGGTTTTGACATCCATTATACAGAAGAATAAAGACATTGATAAGGATGTGACACACAGGGACCTAAGTAGGTCGGTTCCAATGAAAATGATCAGTAGGATTATATATTGACCATGCTATTATTTTGATCAATCCTACTGGGGCTATCAAAAAAGATCAAATGAAGAAGACAAATGTAGCTAAGATGTGCAAGTTAAAATTAAACAAAGCCTAGGGGCTAACCACTACCATTATCAATGCACAATAGCATGAGTATAAGTAATAATCTATGCTTTCAGCAAATTTATTATTTTTATTTTAAAAAAACTTACTCTGTTTTGTGAGTATCACACCATCAGAATTGACAAGCAACAAGTCCAAGCAATTTAGATCATGTTCCTCAAGAACCTGAAATGAGAATATGCTCAAATCTAGTTTCGTCAACAATGACATATATACTTGTCATTTGTAAGAACATAGCCTTTACCTACCTTTTGTAACTCACTTAAGTTGCTCCGAGATATCACAAATCTCCCATCTTCTTCAATTTGCTTATTGAATGTTCCAAGGATATCTTCATCCTGTATATAGCAACCCCACACTCAGCATAAATTTACTGTCATTTTTTACTAAAGGGTTATAATTAAGAAACCAGTAATACAGCCAAAGAAAATTAATAACAACAGCGATAATAATAACAAAACTAAGACTAACAACAACATAATAACAACAATAGTCAACAAGTGTGAGTAACCCGCATGTCTTGTGTATGAATCTAATACAGAAGTGAGGTAAACCTCAGTTCTAGTGCATCTTTTGGGATGAGTTATGTCAAAATAATGATATTAGAATGTTGTTCGAGGGTGGTTTGTGACTTTTTCGGGTGCCAGGCTACTGATAGTTTAGGCACCCCATTTGGAGAGAGAGATTAAATCAGTAGTTCAAGACTCTAAATGCAGGGACAATGAGATAAAGGCACAAGGGACAACAATGTTGTATGGAGATGGAGAATATGCAAATGGAGAATGTAGTATGCCATGTATTCCAGCTGAAAGACCATAGAGGAGCCCAAACATCGAAGAACAAAAGAACAAAGAATTAAGTTGATGAAGCCAAATAACACTGAAACATACTTCAGCGCGTTTTTTGTTTATTCTTTAAAATATATTAACTTGATTGAATCTTTATAGAGTAATATTAAATACTAGGTTCTTTAGTTGGCTTAATTAGCAAAAGCAGTTTATTTTCTTCAGTCACTCATAGGTCTACTTTAGGTATGCTTAAGTGTCCTTTTTTATACAGTCATACAGGAAATAGATACAAATAAGTACATTTCAAAAAGATTGCATATCCAGCAAGGATGTGATCTTAGAGGAAAAAGTAATGGACAAGAAAAAGGTCAGAAAAATGACTTTGATAAGTTATGATAGAAAGAAATGATTACTTGATGGAGCTATGTGTTATAAAGAAATTATTAGAATTGATCAGATGACTTCAAAGCATGATGCCATCCCATCATTTAAATTTATATATACATGTATGCTCACATGCACATCACAAAAACCTTGTCTTACATGAGAAATTTTGAAATACTAACCTTAGGGGGAGGAAGATACATAGCATTATCAAACAGTTTATGGATGTCATCATCTACCGACCGTTTTGAGGCAGTTATTCCCTCAGCAAACTGCTTTAAATGAAGAGGCTGTAAACTTGAACAAACAATTGGTAAGCTTAAACATGAAATAATATTATTCTTTTTCTTATAATAATAGCGTCGCTATTATAGCTATGATTATAATGGTTATAATAATAATAGTAGTAGTAATGATTACTTCTATTTAATAAAAATAATAATAATATTGGGTTCGTTTTGCTTGGTTTGATCATAAAATGCTAGTATTGATACTCTTGTAATATAAAGGGATAACTAGTACTTGCACATCATGTCTACTCCAATATTTGACTTCGCACTCCATGCTTTATTTTCTCTGAGTTCACACCCATAATGGGTGCCAAGTCAAATATTGGGGTAAACATGAGGTGAAAATACTGAGTTTTTTGTTAGACTTTGCACCTCATATTTATCTGAATATTTGATTTTGTGCCCCAATCAAGGTACGATATCAAAGAAACTAAAAGAAGATATGCAAAGTTCAATAATAAGTAGGTGTGGGAAACCAAATTTCCTTAGCAACAATAATGTTTAGCACTAAAGATATGACGTTGTGGTCGAAATGCAGTAACTCATGACAAAAGAACATTGACACAACCATCAAGTGAATAGACGACTAATTCTATGTCTCAGTATACATTCTGCTTAACTAAAACCTTCAGCTATAGACAATGATACAATGCCACATTAAAGTAGCATGTCGTTCATTTTAGTCAGGTTATGTTTCATTGACACAACATATGTAATACTCCGTAGTTATCAATTCAAAGTTCCAACCATTAAAAATTTGAGCAACACAATGGAAGACCTCATGTTCTTTCTCTAAACATGTTCCACTTATCCTCGATGGTTGATGATGCGTTTGGAATTTGGAAAACCACAGTCATGCAAATCAGTGAATAAATAGACAGCGAGTTTGCAGTCCCATTATATATTCTGCTTTAACTAATGTTGTTCAGAATGCTTATGATGACATTTAGAGTTAAGGATAGTAAGACATAAGCAAAGAGTAATATCCAATGAAACAGATCATGTACACAGCAGTAAACATTTAGATGGTAGCTTAAAAAGGTTGCAATAACACTGTTGGAGAAAGGTCATTATCATTACCAGCTTAGCAAGACGCCTCAGATTCGGAAGTATCACTGTCTGTTTATATAAGGATAAACGAATTACAAATAGAAGATAAAAACAACAAACTTCTAATGATTTGAAGATGGAATTACTTACACATTTTTCTTTTTCTTTTGATGCATTCTCAATCTTGTTTTTGCCACAAATCAAAACAACTGGTCCATGTATCTGATCAAACATTTCTTGCACCTTTTGGAAAAATTCTTTTCGGTTTGGTTTGGACACAGTTTTAGAAAACCACAGAGAAGAATCTGGAAAGTAGGCAATAAGTGGCTGCACAGACTTTAGGACCTGCATTTAATATAAAAGCTTGGATAATAAGATCATAACCTGCAATAAAGCAAAACAAAACAACCTTTACCAATCCAACAATCCACCTCACAGAGCGCCTCCATAGCAATGTAAATCTCTTCAGCCTGAACGTCATTGTCATGCTCAATATCTTTGGCTGAAAAAGAAAACAATAGATAAATGAAGTCAATAGTTGGCCTTGAAACATTGAGCATTTTGTGAAGTAAAGTATCAATCATTATGAGGGTTGACCGACGCGAGCATAGTTATACACATTAGTCAACACCACATTTGAGGATTGAAATCTTAGTGTAGGCTTTGTGTATCCAAATAGTCTAAACCGTGTAGACCATGAGATCGATGATTGATGGAAAAAAGCAACAATAAAAGAAATACAAATTTGCCGGTCTTTTGTTTAGATTATACACGAAAACAAAACAACTACCACAAGTGCTTCACTGCATCTTGTGGCTCACACTAAGTAGAATACTTTTTATTCATATGCATTTATAATAAACACCTAAACCAAATATTAAAAATCAGAGTTTGCAGGGATCAAATAATTCAATTAATCCTTTTGATTTTCTTCATTTATTTGGAAAGACCTTAATTACTTAGATGAACCAAAAGTCCATAATCTAGAATTGAAAATTGGGTTAGGATCACTCAACTAGGTCACAAGGCACGTAAGTCAAACCACATTAAAAAATTGAATCTAATGTATTACTACCTCCGTCGCAAAATAGTTGGCCAAATTCAAAACTTTGGCCAAATATATATATTTATTGGAAATTATTCATAAAATAAAAATGATATGAAAATATTCTTTGTTAAAAGTAATTTTATAAAAGTATAAAATTTATAACGTCATAATATTATACTAATCAAAACCATGATTCAAATTTTAAAATTTGGCCAAGTATTTTGGGACGGAGGTAGTATTAGTTAGCTCAACCCAATGTCTTACTAACCCATCATTCTCTCTTTAATTTCTCAATGTGGAATTCGAAGTTCTAACACAGTAACACTAGCCAACACTCAATTACTAGGACCAAATCCAAGTTATTTAGTAATGCAAGCACATCCAATATCTGACATTAAGGAACCAACAACCGCACGGAAAAAACTAAAGTGTAAGCCACCCATAACACACTTAACACGTGCATGTAGTGGAAAGCTCAAGGATATGGTACTTTAGGTCCTGAGATGCATCAAGAAACCTCAAGGAGAGGAATATTGTAAGAAGATATTGGCCAGGCTCAAGCTGTTCGCAATTGATGTTCTAATTCTGCATATTGTGAGTTTAATGGTGGCAACCTAACCTCAAGAAAAAGTAAGGATGAGAATTGCTTGTGCAGAAACTGAGTATCATGTTATGACCTCCGGCCACATGTGAAACACTATAGCGAAGCGCTTTAAAAATTGTGATATGTGACATAGCACAGGTTACATTGATATGCAATGTGACAATCGAGCAATCATGCATAATGCCTCAAATCATATATTGCATGGTGGATATTCCTCATATTCTAACTAAGTCTCATAGAGGGACTCAAATAGATTATACTTTTAGCAAGCTTGGTGCATATCTTGGTTTAAAAAAGCGCGCCTCAAAGGCGTGAGGCACCACTAGGCGCTAGGCGATGGGTTTATCGCATCCATAAGTCCCAGATGCAGTAACTGCTAGTAGGTACGCCTTAAACCTTTCTTTTTGCCGCTTTTTTGCCTCTGAGAGGCTTCCGCCTCTGTCGCCTCTTGGATGGTGTCTGCACATGTGTCTTGAAAGCCTTTTGGTGATTCACTGGTTCGAGCCTTTTGGCAATACACATGTCTGGTTTCAGAAAAGTCGTAGGTATTACATTTAGGTAAGGTTCCCTGAGTCCATCAAGCTCCAAATCTTCTCTCTGAGACTCTTATCTTTTGCCTTTTGCTTCTCCATATGCTTCCCCTATCTTCCGCTCCTGACGTGCGTCGCAGGTATGCTTTTTATTCTTTGTTCCCTTCTAGGTTTATACTCTCTGTTCTCTTTTTGTCTTAACTTTTTACATTTATCAAATAATTTAATTTAATTAAATGTACAACCATATAACAATCTGCCCTAAACACTAATCCCAATCAGAAAGTTTAAAAATTTTAGATAATACTCCCTCCGTCCCATAAAATTCTTCTTCGTTTGACTTGGATCAGAGTTTAAGAAAGTGGGAAGAAAGTGGAAATGTATGGTTGTGCTTGAGGAAAAAAAAGGTAAATGAATGTTAGAAACACAAAACTTTCCAAAAAGGGAAATGGGTAGAATAATTTGGAACGTCCCAAAACGGTAAGTGGGAAGAATTTTATGGGACGGAGGGAGTAATACAGATGGTTTGTACCATCAGATTGTTCAAATTTGTACTTTTAACAGTTTGAGAAAATTTAATGTAAGCCATGTATTTATTTTATGATAGTTTATAAGTTTATTATATAACAATTAAATATGGCATCTTATTATTAATAATATTAATTTGATTATATAAAATTTTAATTAAAACATTAACTATTATTTGCTTGGATGCTGTTGTATTAACTATTTACTGCTTAGAAACTAGTATTAACAGTTTATGGTAAAAAAACTGTTAAAATATTACTAGTACCTGTGAGTATAACAGTTTGTTAAAATAATTTCTATTAATTGTTAAAAATTTACTATTAACAGTTTATTCATAAAATTTATTAAAAAATATAACTATTAATTGTTTTATATATAAGCAACACTTAGGCAGTAGACCTCCAATTGTCCAATAATAGCAGTTTGTTTATTATAAAACAATTAAATATGATAGTTTTTATTAATAAGAATTTAGTATAACAGTTTAATACAACAACTACTAATAATTATTTAAATTACTATTAACAGTTTATTATATAACAATTTATTAAGGTTTTTATTAAGATTGTTTAATGGTTTAAGGTATTTTTAAGATGTTAGTATGTTACCATTTTTTGGGAAGAGTGCTTCATGTAGAAGTAGTATAAATATATATATTACCAAAGTTATAAGGTTAAGTTCCGCGAAGCGCGCGCCTTTGCCTCGCGCCTCTGGTAAATTGAGCCAAAATGCCTCATGCCGCCTCGCGCCTTTTAAAATTAAGGAACATATGATTTATATGATATAGCTTTAGGAACATTAAAGCCAAAGGTAGTGTGGTTTAACCCAACATACATCTTTATCACCTTTACGTAACTCGTGCAAATAACTGTTACAATATGCACAAATTTCACAAATTTAACGGTCATTTCTACATAAAGATACACATCCTGTCATCGGGATCAAACAGAAAAGCAGATAGAAAGAAATAATTGTGCTGCTGATATAACAATCCTAATGAAGAAAGAATACCTGGAATCCAGTATATTGATGGTTTGGCATCTTCTGCCATGGCCATGAGTTTTTCATCCTTCTCTCTATCCTTTTCTTCTTCAATAATATCAAGAATAACTGCAACTTGGTCACCGCCCAACTCATACACCTCTCCTCGCTGACCACGAGATAATGTTCTGCAGATGATGCAGATGTGAAAAGCATAGCAAATAAAATTGCCTCTGTTCTGTTAAATCACCTTCATTGTTTGTGTGCATACAAAGGAAATTAAGTAGGAAAGTGGAAAACAAGAAACTTGTGAATAGAAAAAACGTGATAGAAGAAAACAGCGCCGTGAGTGTTGATAACACTTGGTATTTCTGGCATTAATAAACAGAGCATCTAAGTGACAAAATAAACATCTAATTTAAGATCGCTGCAGTGGATAGGTAACATATATATTTTTCAGAAAAAAGCCATTAAATTATAACTATTACTTTGAAACTCAAAGATCGCTGCAGTGGATAGGTAACATATATATTGACTCCCTGAATCAGGCACATGGATTAAAACTGCAATTATAATGTAAAACCACTGAAGAGTACTCCCTCTGTCTCAAAAGAGTCTTATTTCAAACACTTTTTTGTCCCAGAGAAAAGAGTACAGTTTGATCGAACAATCCAGTTTCATGTAACTTTACAACAAAATCCTAGAGTCAAAGGCAAATTAGATATGATATATTTGAACCACTAGTTAACTTTAAAAAAAAAAAAAAAAAAAAAAAAAACAGGTACGGCGCATGGTCTAAGATAAGTGTATCATACCAAATTTAAAAAATTAGAACACCAGTCAAACATGAATCTTTTTTTGGAGGCAGTATTTCTGTATTTACTTTATCTGCTGGGAGTGGAGCAAATGTAGCTCATGTCTTAACTCCTTGTTGGGGGAAACTAATGCTGTTTAGCACGCCTTGGCTGTAAGATACCACACCCTAGCTGATCTGCAGCACATATGCATAGCCCCCCAAAAGATACTATCTAGCCTAAGAAATTTCCTATTTAAGAGTGTTGTAACTTGGAAGCTTTGTATCAACTAAAAATACAACTTTACTTGTTTCACTGATACGTGAGCCACCTTTTGGCATCTAACTTTTTCCCTTCTCCAACAATTGTTGACATTTGTCAATTGTCATGAGAGTATTTTAAAGTTTTCAACTAAATTATAGCTCTCTCTTTTAGGCTTTTTTGCTCAAAAAGTCTAAAAGAGACCAAAAGGGTTATTCTCCCAAAAGCAGTTTATTGACCAATATTAAGGTCCTTCATATAGCTATTCCAAGAGTCCTAATCAAAATATGAAACCTAAAATTAAAGGCTAATAAGAACTAAATAAGGACATATAAATATTATTAATATTAATATTGATACGAAACTACTACTGAAAGATTAAATATTATTAACTACTAACACCACCACAACAACAACACCAATAACAATAATAGGAAGTTCCCTTCATCAATACTTGTTCATGTTTCTCTAGCGCGGATCTATCATAGAATGCCTCTACCACTCGGATGGAAAGTTTATACACTCAAAGGACGACTTCTTTCCATAGAATACACAACTTTTTCGCAACGTTTTCACTAGTACCTATTCTCTTGTGGCCAAATTCACTTTAGTGTCTTCTAATTGCTACAAAATTAACATTAGTTGCATTAGTTAAAGTGAGTTAAACATGTGAAAAGTGCAAAATAATCTGTCATACTATATCAGAAACAGCAATTAAACTCTCGTATTCTAAAACCACCAAATCAACCCCATGATGTTGTTAAAAACACTCAAATCAGCGGTTTAGGCGGTCACCTTCTAGTTTCCCAATTACGAGCTTGCATGTTGTCCATGTGGTTTTTTCTTAATTTCTTAATGCGATGAAGTGAAGGGGAGCTTTGGCGCACCAATTAGGGTGTTGTGTGACCGAGAGGTCACGGGTTCAAGTCTTTGGAAGTAGCCTCTTGTCAAAATGGCATAGGAAGGATTGCCTCTTACACGCAATTGTGGAGGGACCTTTCCTTGGACCTTTGCCTTGTGGGGATGCCAATGTGCATCGAGCTACTCCTTTTCCATTACTTGGGCTGCATAATTTAGAAGGGCGGTGAATTAGATGGAGATGTATCCCATAGAATTAGAGTAGAGTGGAAGGTAGAGTGTGCCAGGATTTCAATGTGATTGAGGTATACCAACTAGATTGAAAGGTAATTTTATCGGACGACAATTACGCTTGCACTACTATATGGCTTAGAGTGTTGGGCAGTAAAACAATGTCACATTCACAAGATGAGTATGGCAAAGATGTGCATGTTGTGTTGAATGTGTGGACTAGAGTTGTTAACGAACCGAGCTTTTGTCGAACTATTCGAGCTCGATTTCGAAGCTAACGAGCGGACCTTCACGAGCTTTCGAACTCGAACCCGAGCTGAGTATTAAGTTCGAAAAAAATAACCGAGCCAATCTCGAACATAGTAGTATTCGGCTCAGTTCGAGATTGAGCCTATTGAACACCATGAAATTATAATTTATAAATATATATATGTCAAAATTCAAATGTAATTAGTATGTTTTTATGAATTTAAATATGATTATTAACATCCGAATACTTGTCGTATAAGTCGATCACGAGCTTATTAACGAGCATCACCTACAATTTTAAATTTGAACATGATTATTGAACTTATCGAGTGCTCGGTTCCAACATCGAATGCCTATAAAGTCGAACATGAGTCTCATTTGTAAAGCTCATCGAGCTTCAGCCTTCAAGCTCGAACCTGAACTCCACTATTATTGAATCGAGCTGAATTTGAGCTCTGGGTGTTCGGGATCGGCTCAACTCATTAACAGCCCTAGTGCGAACATACCAGAAAAGACCGCTTGAGTAATGAAACAATCAGAAAAAAGGTGGGAGTAGCACCTATTGAAGATAAGATGTGGGAGTCTTGATTGCGGTGGTTTGGTCATGTGCGTAGAAGAATGATTGATGCACATGTTAGACGAGTTGAGAGATGTGGAGAAGAAGCGAAGAGGGGAGAAAGACTCAAACATATGTGGATTAGAGGAGTCGGGAGTTATAAGCTCCTTCTTGGAATAGATGAGAGTAGGGTGGGCGGGTATTCGTGTGACGGATTGATCTCCTATTATTATTTTTCCCTTTATCTTCTTTTTCTTTCTTATGTTTCTTTACCCTTTTATCTTTTTATTATATATATATAGAGAGAGAGAGAGGAATATTCATATCCGGAAATTTCTGACCGGACCCTCGTCCGGTCTCCGCCGTTTGGGGCGGTTCCCGATGGTATTTTTTGATGAATTTTTTTTGTATGTTCTTCATCAAGTCTAGTTTATCCCAACCAAATTTCAGCTAAGAATTCAATCAGGAAGGCAGTAAAATGATTTTTGGAAGTTAATTGTGTTTTATATGTATATAAATGGCGCACTCAACTTCTAAAAATCATTTGACTGCCTTCCCGGTTAAATTTATCTGAAATTTGGTATGAATAAACTAGACTTAATGAAAAACATGCACACAAAATTTCAGCAAAAAATAACACCGGGAACCGCCCCAAAAGGCGGAGGCCGGACGGCATTCTTGTCACGAAATTCCGGACAGGAACACTACTCTATATATGTAAATATGTGTGTGTGCGCGCGTGTGTGTATAGGAAATTGTTCAAGTAAGGTAGGCCTAAGAGTTGTAATTCTTAGGCCTCTTTCATTTGAGGTGCTTTGGTGTCGAATTTTTTGATGAAATTTTGTGAGCATGTTTTCCCTGAAGTGTAGACTATACCCGCCAAATTTCAGATTAAAATTTAATCGGAAAGTCGGTTAAATAAGTTTTTCAAATTTGTGCAGATGTTTATATATTTAAAATGCAGCTTTTTTCAATAATTTATTTAACTGACTTCCCAGTTGAATTTTGTTGTGAAACTTGGTGGACATAATACTCATGGAGAACACGCTCACAAAATTTCATCAAAAAATTCGACCCGGAAGCACCTCAAATGAAAGAGACCTAAGAATTACAATTTTAAGGCCTACCTTACTTAACATTGTCATATATATATATACACACACACACACACATATATATATATTCCTTTCATCATTTTTATCTCATCACTTTTATGTATATCTTATCTCGATTTTATATTATCTTTTTTATCATACCTTATCTTTTTCTCTTTATTATCTTTCTTTCCATTTTGGTTCCATTATCGTGTATCAACTCATTTTAGCCGACCCCAAGATCTTTTGAGACTAAGACTTTGATGTTGTAGTTGTTATCAGAGAAATATTGCAAAAGTCTAATTTTACTCAAACCTCATCATGGCCAATCACCAATGAGGAAGATGATTTTTTTTACTCAAATTTCAACAGGGTCAATGAGGAAGATGATTTTTTTACTCAAATTTCACCAGGGTCAATGAGGAAGATGATTTTTTTACTCAAATTTCACAATATTGCAAAAGTCTGCTCTAGACAAACAAAAAACATAAGATGAATAAAGCTTCAAATAGTTAAATCATTTTACTTAAATGAAAAAAAAGTCTCACACCGACCACGCCAACAGCTAAGCCAACAACCACTCTTGGTCTAGTTAGCAGACTCCGCTTTTGGTGTATCATCTTTGATTCTTCCCCTTGAGGAAGATGGACACGTACACATACATCAACCATTCAACAACTAAACAAATTTCATATGTAAGTTACGGTTTCTTCTTCCCCAAACAAATATAAAAACAAGTGTGCATTATTTCTTAGCTTTTAGGATGTTTTTACTTGGACTGTAATTTGCTGGTCTGGTCTGGTCTGAACTGGTCTGGTTTCTTTGTATTTTTATAACTACCCAAGTCTGGTCTGGTCTGATCTAGTCTGGGACAAATTACAGTCCAAGTAAAAACTTCCTTAGATCCCATCGAAATAAACTTTGAATCGATCTTCTACAAAATATCTTGTTTCATATTGTGAACTTTTCAAATCTGGATTTTTTAAATCAGCTTGTATAACTGTATAAGAGCACATTGAAGACATTCAATTGTACTCCTTCGTTCCTCAAAACATTGTCATCTTTCCTTTTTGGTTGACTCAAAAACTTTGTCACATACCTTTTCAATCGGGAAAATAAGTTTGAATAATACCAACTATCCTCCATGAACCAAGAATAATATGTACTTAGAAATAACTTTTAATAATACCAACTATCTGAATGTAGAACAAAAATAATATGGAGTCACTTTTCTATTAAAAAAATCCGGTCAGTTAAGACATCAAAAACTAATATTAAATGATTGAGTTAAATGATTGATTTTTTTGTGAAAAATTGCTTTATATCACTTTAGATATATATATATATATATATATTCAAATAGTTGGTATAATTAAAAGTTAATTCTAAAGTAAGTATTATTTTTGGTTCATGGAAGATAGTTGGTATTATTTAATGTTATTTTTCCTTTTTAATCAATCGATTTGCGGTTCCTATCATTTCTTTATCCTCTTCACAAATATCTCAATTGTTCCTTCATATGCATAGCCAACAAAAAGTTGTCTTAAGGAATATTCTTTAAACAAGGCACTTAACCATAATTTGAATACCCATTCATGATCACAAGGCAATGAAATAATCAGAACTCTCATACGTATTATATTAAGTTTAAGTGGACGATCGCTAGATGGTTGGGCATGCAAAACGAGACAAACAGTTTTTCCACAATATTTGGCATGATTTACATACAAACCTGCCACGAATTACAGTGTAAACATTTTTGGGGCCATCACAAGTAGCTATCTCCCCCAGTACAATCCTGTGCGAATTAGATATTATGTCAAGTCCTCTCTCAAGCGACCACTTAATTTAAGTTCTCATTTCATGTGTTAATATTGAAAGATCCTTCATAGATGTGTGACTGCATGGGGCAACCTTATATGCATGAGAAAGAGGACAGCAATGGTGACTTATGGATGCACGGATGATTTAGATTACAGTTATCACTAATGATGAGCATACATGATAAGAACCAACACATAAAGTCATAAAGAAAGACCTCTAAACGTAATTCTGCTCTGTATGGTGTTAGGCATGAACAATACCAATCTCAAATTAAGTGCAACATAAGATTAAAAAAGAATATGTATGGCCCACAAGTTGTTATATTATCATATCCATTGCTCTAGAGAGCTGGCTTATTTAATTACAAGCAGTCAAGCACAGAGCTTTGATCGGGCACATTTGATTCTAAGCTTTCACGTAATACTTAAATGATATAAGTAAATGGAAAAACATGTATGATCACAGTTTTGGAATTTGGTCCACATTTGAAGCAAAAGTTTGGGGGTAATAAACTTCTAAAGTTTACCTCGATTTTAAAGTTTATCCCTATTTAGAATGGTTTAAAACTTGGTTTAAGTTTCAAACGTGAAATGGAAGTCTTACCTTATAGATAAAATATTATGAAAAACTACAAATGATTATATACGCTCATTGATTTGTTTCAATAGAATTGTAGTGGCTAACCTGGGAGGAACTTAGGCTTCACTATAGATATCAAGTGGACCGGTTACAAGGGCAAAGACCAAGGCATTACAAGAAACATTAGGCGGGCTAATGTGTGCCCATTGTAATGACAATTATTTTTCTGAAGTGCCGCAAGCAACTCCGGACCAAGAAAGGAAAATGGTCAATCTGCTAAAGATCCAATCTGCATCTGAGCCACGAAGTTAATTTCTTTTGGAGACTATGAGATGGATCATTAATTGGTTAATTTAAACAATGATCATTATTAATTTAGTGATTAAATTGGAATTTTAGAAGGGGATAAGCTAGGCAGCATGGGCGCAGCTAGTGGAATAAAGCTTCAGGAGTTTGTTAGTGTACCTTTATTTTACCGTTGGCATATTTTATTTATTTAGATAATTAAGATAAGACAGTGTTAGATTATTATAGTTAGTTGGGTCAATTGACTGAAATAATAGGGAAGGCCACATATATAAAGAGTATACATAAAGAGAGAGATTGTGGTTCAGGATAGAAATGCATCTAATGTGAGAAATGAGAATAAATTTCAGCCAATGGATTTACGATGATGCACTAAAACCAGCTACATGATGCACTAGGATTTAAATCAAGCGTCAATCCCAGATAGCAGAGCGGAATGGCTTAGCACAAATATGCAATCGAGGTATAGCGGGTAGCGGGATGACCTCTATTCATACACCTCTTATGTAGAATACCGAATATGTAATTACATTTAAACATACATATATGATATCTAAAAAAGTGTTACTTGGTATGTAACGTGCAGAATTAAGTGTGTGCATTAAAGTAAATGCAACGAGGTAAGTGCCGCAAGGAATTATAGTGATTCAAGGGTAGTGTAGTCTATTAATGTCCACTGTTCACAGGAATAACAATGACTTATGTAGTTATTGTCAAAGAGATTATAATCAAGATATCCCTAATGGAAAAACAATAACACAAAGCAGTGTGGGGATCTTAGTTTGTGCGGCTAAGGGAGTAAGGGGAGGCATTTGACTGCCAACCCTCAAAACCGCCCAACCCCTCTATGAATTGAGAAGAAGACACCCTTTGAAACGAATGAACAGAAAGATTTAAAAAGAATTGAAGGGTAGAAACAGAAACATTGATAAGATTCAGAATAGAGAAGAAGACAGCATACGAAAAAAGTTGTTGCAGAAAGTACAATAAATGCACTTTCTTGTTGGCTTCGCTCTCTTAATTGAAGGGTAGTGTAATCCATCATATTTTTAATAATCCAGGCTCCTAGCTTTGTCATACTAATCCTGATTTTTAGCAAAGGTTTGTTGGTGATAATTGGTACATGTAGCCGATCCTATTCAATTTAAGCTCGGTTGTTGCTATTGTTGATCCTGCACTTCCCCATTACTTACAATCAAAGACTTAAAAATGATCAAGACTACAAAGCTTTGCACTTGATTCTTTAGAACTGGTCATTCCACTAGTTTTGACCTCATAGTTAATAAATATTAAGAAAGGAAAAAGAAACACTACAAAAAGTAAAAGTTCAATCGTACCATGTATCTGGAATATATAGCAACTGCAAATATATTACTCCATCTTTTATAAATTGCTGCACTTCCCTTTATAATAAATTTAAATTGCTCCACTATCACTTTTGGTAAATATGATCTTGCCCAATGACGTAAACTTACGGTTACATCTTTCTCTCCTACTTCTCTTACTCGATAGTTTTATCTGCTCTCCTCTACTTATTGACTTTCCTTTACACTAATCAACACCCCTACAATTTCACTCTGAAAATAGTAAAAAACCTATTGGAACAGCTAATAAAAGAGGGACAGAGTACACAAAATTGTGTACACATTGGGCACTTACAAGTCAAGATGTTAGCATCTACCATAATAATAGCATTAAGATATTACAAATATGCTTCAGAAAATTGTGATACAGAAAATGGAGAAGAAAGAAATGAAAGGTCAGTGTATGAGTTTTGAAGCATATCAAGCATCTCCATGAACTCAATTGACAAAGGAACATAGTAAACTAAACTACCAAAATCTAGCTAGGGGGTTAGCTAAATGTACTCTATTAAAAAAATACAATAAGCGCTAACTATAAGACCTTTAGCGGGGGGAGTAGCTCACATGGTAGGAAGAAGGTGCCACAAGAGATAGGTCTCGGGTTCAACTCCAAGCAAACACTTGGGATGGAACCCCACTCTCTTTCCATCAGTGTGTGATCAAAACTCAGTTTACATTCTTCCTGGATAACTTGTCCGGTTCCTAGGGGCCTCAAGGATGGGGTGTTATCACTTTTTTATGAGACCTTCAGCTTTTATATATTTCTTCATAATACCAAATACCAATCAAGTATCAATCTCCCTATTTGTCTTTCAACTTTTATTATTGTCATTCTATTGTGAATTGTGATTGCGTGATTCTACTTTCAAGCATATGTGCATAACTATCCAAATACCTAAGCTGAACATTTGGTCCATTTGGATGTAAGTTGAATATGTTACATGTCTAAAACATCTTTAATCAATTCTCTCTACATGTATTCCTAAGTATCATCGCAAACAGACCAAATGAAAAAGGCTCAAGAAAGGTTCACAAGTACAAATAAGGTGACTGATGTATATTATAATTAACTCCTCATCTCATAATACAATACTGCCTCCGTCCCAAAAACTGTCATTTTTACATCTTTGACAAAGTATATATTTTTTGGAAATTTATAACTTCTATAATATTATACTAATCAAAATCATGGTCCAAATTTTATGAGATTGGCAAAGTACTTTGGGACGGAGGTAGTATGAAAGATCAAAAAATGTGAATACTTTGATAGTATTATTCAACTAATTGTAATATACGCAAAGTGAAGGTGGTAAAAATGTGAATACTTTGATAGTATTATTTGTCAACTAATTATTCACCTATTATCAGCTTCAATGGTTAGAGAAGGTCCCACATATTTAACTGGATCACCTGCCAAGAGATAGATGATGTTAATACCTAAGCAAAGGGGAGCTAAAAAATTAGCAAAAAAATATTAAATCTGAAAAAATATTTTATAAGAAAAATCAAATGATCTGAACTGATGAGTTTAAGTAGCTTTAAAATCATAGATGGAGAAGCTGAACTAACGTTCTTAGGCTATAGAATATATAGTAATAATACATACATAAAACAAAAAATAAAGTAACATAGTGCCAAACATGTAACCAAAAAGAACAAAAGATTAAAAGAGTATACAAAGTTCACATTAGATCAGGTTATTAGCATAATATAAATTAACGAGAGGAAAATGACTACATCTCCGATGTCTTCTCTAGATTTTGTATTTCATATCAACATTTCTAACAAATTATCCTCTTCTACATTAAATTTTAATGCACCACTTCCTATTTCTCCTCTTTCCCCACTTCCTAAAAACACGGAATGCTTTCAAAACTGAAGTGCCGGTATTTTTTTAAAAACTGAACACCTTTGGCTCGTGATTCAAAGGCTTCTATGCTTACCAGGTCATACTTCATTAGATAGTTTAATGACTTAATAGGCACCATCAGTACCGGCACATCTGCTGGCAAAACCCACATTCCTCAACAAAATCAACATCAGAGAAGATACCTACCATAGGCGAGCACAATTTTTCCTCACATTGGGGTCCAACACAATTTTGCGACTGTGCCATGAAGAGGGATAAAGTTAAATAAAGCATATGGATAGCCACTACATTTGACTCTCCATCAGCTACTCAGATCCTGCCCCATCAGAATCTCAAGAACATTTAATTATCATGATCGTGGTTCTGATTCACAAAAACATGTCACGGTGCTCCCATTAAATTAAATAATATTTTTCAAGTGTTCTACCCCATACCAATGATCAACGGTGGGAGACGCCAAATATTGACTCATTACACAGAGTACACGTCCTAAGTAGGCAACGCCTTAACTAGTCACGCTAAGACATTTCAGCTTTTCAGTCAATCGTCTATATCTTTCTTATATTTCAGATGTTATGCCTTCTTGAATGAGTTCCATATTGTGAATCATGCCTATGGGAGTACCATTCGGCTTTGCTCCTAGTTTCCCTGTTTCAACCTGCAATTCAACTACTCAAGAGATTTTGAGGTCGGTTAACATGAATCGATCCATAAAATCAGAGCAAAAAAGAAAGATTAAAAAATAAAAAGTAAGGTAAGGTAAAATGGATAAAAATAACATAAGAACATAAGAAAGGTAAAGGATTAAAAACATTAGAAAGATAAAATATAAAAATAACATAAGAAATCTCATTCCCAAAAGATTTTGGGGTAAGCTGACATGAAATCAGAGTCAGATAAAGAAGAAAAATCAGAAGAAAAAAAGATAAAGATAAAAATAAAAGAACATAAGATAAAAGATAAAAATAACAGGTGAACATAAGAAAGATAAAAGATAAAAAAAAAACATATGGTAAAAGATAAAAATAACATAAGAAAACAGAAAGATAAAGAAGATAAAAAGATAAAAGAAAAGGATAGAGAGAGAAAAGAAGAAAAAAGAGATCAATCGTCCACACGAATATGCGCCCTCCATTTTGCTCTCTATAAAGTCATACTCTCATCCAACCCAAGAAGAAGAATGTCAGTTCTCATTCTTCTAATCCAAGTCTGGTTGGGTCTTCCTCACACTCCCCACCCCGCCTCTTCTCCCCACCTCTCAAGTCGTCTATTAGGTGCATCACTTGGTCTTCTACACACATGACCAAACCACTGCAAATAAGACTCCTGCATCTTATCTTCTATAGGTGCTACTTTCACCTTTTATCTGATTATCTCATTCCTCAAATGGTCTTTTCTTGTATGTCCACATATTCAACGCAACACATATATCTCTGCCACACTCACCTTTTGATCGTGACGTTGTTTCACCGTCCAACGCTCTACACCATACATTAATGCATGGTTAATTGTTATCCAATAAAACTCGATTGTGTCTCATCAATAAATACAATATCGTCGGCAAACATCATACACCACGGTATATCTTCTTGAATCGACTTCATGAGTTCATCCATGACAATAACATAGAAATTCAAAGTCGATTCAAAGTCAATCCTTGGTGCGCTCTCATAGTACTAGCGGAACTCTACCGTCCTTCCATCACTAGTACGGACATTTGTAGTATAAGCCTCATATGATTATAGGATACAAAAGAGGAAACGGATTGAGAAGACATATGACTATACAATACATAAGAAAGTATAAGAAGGTGAGTGAAAGAATCATGTTCTACTACATAGTGCTATTGGAAGATCAAAATGGAACAGAATCTGAAGATGAAGGCATCAGCTAAGGATATGAGATTGGGACTGGATCAAGTAGATCGGGATAAGATGATTTGTTTCAATGGAGTAGATCATGTGTACTAGAAGAATAGGAACAAGCTGGTATAATGTGGTATAAAAGTGTAAGATGTAGGAAACACGATATGAAACGTGATACGCAACACGTTGCAAAAATGTAAATTGTAGATTCATAAATGAATCGATGAATCGAGGTTGTATTGTAGCATATCTCATCATATTGCAAAATCGCTATGCAAATTCACAAAATTTGATTTGGTCGAGATTAACCTGAATCTGCATCGGGTTGTGCAACCATTTCTTAATAACCTTATGAGGTTATTCTTGTGCAACTATTTTGCCAAATGTCCTGAGGCAGTGCATTAGTATCAAGTCCAAATGCATAGTTTTCACCACATAAACTTAAACCTATTTTGGCTTTGTATTTTGTTCTTCTAATATTTAATGTTCACAGTATGTATTGCTCTTCAATTAGCACAAAAAAAAAAATTCTCACTTCAGTCTTCATCAAAATGGCTAAACCATACAAAGTAGAAGATGTAAAATTGAAAGAATTGTGGAAGTGTTAAATCCCACACGCTTTAGTGAACTGAAATTGCATTTCTCATACTTGTTGGGGTGGTGTTGCAAGAATAAAACATCACCTTACCGGAAGAACTCTAAACATTAGTGATTATGTTTGAGCCACATAAGAAATTGAACTGATTGTCACAAAAGTACTTGAAGATACAAAAAAAAAAAAAGTTGGACAACTGTTCTGCAGAATCTCAAGCCCAAGTTTATGAGAAAGAGAGTCATGGAAATATGAACCAAACAATAATGAACTAGATAGTGAAAGGCATAGACTCAGCCTTCCACGATATTTGAGAATGCATGTATGGTAATGCTCTTCCATTAATTTGGTAAGAGGTCCCTCATTTGAAGTGAAACAATTAAGCAATATGATACTTTTGTTATTTTTAATTTTGATGTATAGCTTAGATTTCATTAGAAGTGATATAAGATATATGAACTTATGCCTTTTTGTGAGGCCAATATGTATAGCGAGAATATACTATAAAAAAGGATGACACCTCATCTCTGAGAGTCCCACGGAACCAATGGGACAGTTATTTGGGATGATGTAAATTGAACTTTGATCACAGAATGGCAAAGAGAGAGTGAGGTTGCAGCCCAAATCTTTGCCCGGAATTGAACCCAGAACCTCTCCCTTGTGGCACCCCCATCCTACTAGCTGAGCTACGCCCTCGGCAACGAGAATATACTATACTTTTATTGGTCATGCATCTTATAATTCATAACATGATACAATTCAATATTCAACAATGGGTCTGACGATTCATAAATTCAATCTTGATACAATAACAATGATCATAAGTACAAGCATTTACGAACCTCTAAACATAACCTATGAAGGGGAAATATTTGAATTGTTAATCAAAAGAAGCAATGATAATATTTATGTAATTTAAAAGAACTCCTTTAGAATTAATATCAAATCATGCAAACTCAATAATTTAGGGAACAAAGAACCACATTAAACATCTTTGTAGAGCGAGACAATAATAATGAATACCTTTTCTAAATGGTCGGTTGGTAACTTCTGAAGAATCGGCAGCATTGGATGATGTGGATTCAAAGGAATCTTCACTTTTGCTAGATACTTGCTGACATAAACAATGAACATTAAGTTAAATATAGCACTGAGTTGATAGTGTTGCATAACAAACTACATTAGTTACAAACAAAGAACGGTTTTGTCCGCGCATCAATATATGAAAAGTTACAAGTGTCAAGGTCCTCCTTGGTGAGAGTAAACAAAATGCGGATTGAAAGGTAAATACCCTAGAGTTGTGTAATTGATTTAGTATCAAAGTGACATAGTGGGGAGCCCTGGTGGATTCGGCTTGGCGGTTTCCTCCTCCATTTATTTACAACAAACCCATATTCAAATCCAAATGAAGGCACCAAGTTTCCAAGAAGCCCCTTATTAAGCATCTTATATTGCGGTGGTGGTGTGACAATATCAAATTCCAATTGCAATGTGTAGGTGGAGAACCAAAGGTCGTATGTGCAACCTTTTCCTGAAGTCCTATAGCATGTAGTGAGTTCCTAATTCTTAGATGTTCACTGTTCACATAATGGCCTAGTGGGTAGCTACTAGCTAGGGCCTAGGACTCTAGGAGAAATTATCATATACTACCTCTGTCCCGTTTTATGTGTCTTGTTTTGGTTTGGCACAACTATTAATAAAGCGGTTGAAAAAGTAAAAGTTGTTGTTGGGATTTGAGTATAATAAAGTGAAATGTTGTGGACCACATATTTCTTTCCAAAAACGGAAATATGACACTTACTTTGGGACAAACCAAAAAGGAAAGTAAGGCAACTACAATGGGACGGAGGGAGTACTTTTTTGTAGGTAGTTGGTTAACTAGTGTTTTAATGTGTGTTTGTCGTTTATTCATTAATGATGAATGAATTTGTTTCAATTATTTCAACTTTAAATGTATAAACATGTGACCTTTGTTTTTAGAACTTATGGAATATGGACAATGTGCTAAAAATGCTAAACTTTCTAATATAAGTGCACCAAACCCATATATGTTTACTCCCAATGAAGCACAAAGCGCAAGCAGGATGTCCTTATCTCATGGTCGTGATGCAAACAGCTAAAATGAAATTTAAGAATTAGAAATTTAATTCTATGAAAAAAAATACTGCATTTAATGATACAAAAACAACAACATCCAAGCCTTAATCCCAAAAGATTTTGGGGTCGGCTAACATGAATCGATCTATGATATTGATGCCAAAAAGAGAAGATAGACAAGAAGAAAAAAAGGATAAAACGAATAAGATAAATATAATAAAATATAAGATAACAATAACATAAGAATATAAGAAAGATAAAAGATAAAATGATAAAGGAGCATAAAAAACTAGAAAAAAAACATAAGAACATAACAAGACAGAGAAGATAAATGATAAAAGAAAACGAGAGAGGAAAAATAGAAAAGAGATCAATCGTCCACACGAATGTGTGCCCTCCACTTTGCCCTCTCCAAAGTCATACTCTCGTAGTCTCATCCAACCCAGGAAGATGCATATCAGTTCCGATTCCTCTAATCCGAACTTGTTTAGGTCTTTCCCTCTCCTCTCTGTCTCTTCTCCCCACCCCTCAAGTCGTCTAACAGGTGTGTCACTCAGTCTTCTACGCACACGCTCAAACCACCGCAAACGAGACTCCTGCATCTTATCGTCTATAGGTGCTACTCCCACCTTTTGTTTGATTATCTCATTCATCAAACGGTCCAACACACCTATATATTACTAGCTCAAATCTCGTTGACAAGTAATGAGATATACTCAACAAACACCAACCTGTCCAAGCCAGGTTGAATAGCTTAATGACTCAATAAATGGATCACGCATTTCTTATATTTTCTACTTTTACCATTGTGTGGGTGGCCCCAGAAACCATTATCTAAACCCAATATCATATTAAACAGGGTCCACTCACCTAAATTAGTCCTCATTAAATAAATCTAAGCTCAAAATTATGTTTTGTAGACTCAAATTCAATAGAAAACATATATCAGTGTCATATGTTTCTAAGGTGAGGTCATTCACAAATAGTTGTCAAATACCTTCTTTAAATTGTTTCTACCAAACAATTACCATTTACATATACGACCTTGACTTCCCACAAATGGGTGTCATATTTCATCTACCTCAACTACTTTTTAGGTCTCCCCCATTTAATGCTCCATTTTCCCTGCACGAGAAACTACCTTTCCATCACAAATGGGTACACGTTGATGAATGATTTCAATGGACCCAATTCTGATTCTGAAGATTAAACACAGTTCTCGCTCTCTAATTTACAGCAATCTAATAAATTACCTTCTCAAAGCTCTCAAGATCGTATGGGACAAGTTTCTTCAAAGCTTCAACAGATTTGCGGGCATCCCCTTCATCATCACTAGTTTCAGACTTTGTCTCTCCGTTGTTTGCCCATTCCTCATCATTAGCTGCATCATCAATAACATCTTCAGCTTCAGACTCTGAAGTATATTCTTCAGCAGATTCTGCATCCTCGTCAGATCCACTTTCTGAAGAGCAATCTTCAGTGAAATTCTGGACAAGAACAGTTATCTTATTATAGGGATAAAGAAAGTCTTTGGAGGTTTTCTGGATTTAATTTAGCAGCAAAAGAATAAGCATTAGGTAGGGAACCATCACTTACATAGGAAGCTAGAATGCTGTTATCAAGAACTAAAAGCGGAACTTTCAAGTCTTTTGCAACTGCTCTGACTATTCTTTCTCGATAAAGTTGAGCGCCTGTCATTATCATTGACAAAAAACTCAAACAACACCCATGCAGAAAAGGGCCACGTGAACAAGGAAAACATAAGAAAATGAAAAAAGAGCCAGAATTTAATGATGAGTGTCTAATAGAGTAAATAGAACTCAACCTGGAATGCTCTGAAGCATAATTCTCCCACTTGATGCATTTAAATGGCGACCATAATCCGTAGTAAGCTTTTTATGCTTTAGATGTGAGGCAGCACATTCCACCAGGATGCTTTTAGAATGTTTACTAGTAGAGTAGATTACTCACTTGGATTAGTGATAGTGTAGATAGATGAGAAAAGGAAATATGAAAAGTAGTTAATGTGAGCAAGCACTTACGCGATATAATAAGGAAATGTGTCCCATGATAGAACTATCTTCTCCCATGGGACAATTCGTCTCAAAAACTCATTTTTAAATCTCTCTCTTCTAGTTAGAAAGGGTGACTCCTTCTTCTTGCTCTCAATTGACAGCTTTTCGTTGTTGAGCCACTCCCTTTGCTCTAGTTCACCAAGTTCAGCATGTGCATCACAAAATCTCTCCTGTTCGGCAACTTTTTGTTTAATAATCTTCCCTTTGTCAGTGCTAGGATGTTCTATGGTGCTAGGATGTTTATCCTCACTTGCATTTCTTCCATCACCTTCTGAGCTATACAACCTCAACTGACTACAAGCGAAACATGTATCTGGCCTTCTATTCAATCTTGTTTTTGTCTTTCCATAACCAAGATTAGTTGATTTGAAAGTATGTGGCTGATGCCTTCTGATCAAGGTACCTTGAAATTTGTAGCTCCCAATAAATGGTACAGATACTGAAGTTGGAGAAAGAGAGCAGTTAAGGTAGTAAGAACTTCTCAGATGTTTGCCGTGTTGATATACAAGATTCCATTTTCCCAGATATCCCATGACTTATAGACATCCAAAAAGACACATGCGGCTAGAAACTGCAAAGCACATTGCAAAGGTTATATCCATATTTCGGCAACATGGTAGTGAAGTGCCATTTATACAAAGCAGATATTGTGTTTAAGCCAGATGCCCAGATGTGTGTAGGAACTTCATTTGATGTACAGCCTCAGCCATTCACGTTAAGATAGAACTTTTACAAATTACCGGGTAAAAGGGGAGAAAAAAGCGTGCTAAATGTTCGTTAACCAAGCAATTGATAAACGATAAACTACCTGTCAAACGAATCAAGGAACAGGTTCCTCGTGGAGAAGTTTGTCACGGCGGGTTCACGAACTTCCCCTGAAAGCTTCTTCAGAACACGAGTGCATCTGAAAGTTGACACTTTGCAGCGCGGATAGAAGATTAGCTTATAGCTAGGGCGCCGGATTAGGGACGGGTAATTTTTATTTGAACCTTACCCGCCCCAAAGGGAATCGGTTTATCCACGGGTAACCGTTTCTCCAAATGATAACAAATAACCAACTTTTTTTGGGAAAACAACTAACCAATTTTTAATCCTACTTGTTATTTATATATTCAAAGCACCCTAAAACATACAAAAATAAACATTTAAGCAATCAAGCAGACTTGCCTAAATTCATTAGTATGACATGCACCCAATATCTCTTGTAACATAATAAAAAAGTAGTAATCATCCCAGAATCCAAATTTAAAAAATAGGTTTAGGCCTATATTTAGTTTTAGGCCTAAAAAAGTAGTATATTTTTAGCATTATTTATATGATATATACTATTTATTATACACAATTTAGCATATAGTTATTATTCTTATATATAAAAAGTTATAATTTATTAATAATGTTATCGATCGGGTAACGGTGCGGGTACCCGCACCACTAGTGAACGGGGCGGTTTCGGGGCGGATAACGGGGTGGATTAGTATAAAACCATAACCGCACCATTAACCATTTAAAAAATTCGGGTATTCCCCGCCCCGTACTCATTCCCCAGTCAAACCGGTTTTCCTCAGTTTGACCAAATCGGTTCGGTGCGGATATCCAACGAGTCGGTCAAAATTGCCATCTCTACGCCGGATGGAGAAATGCGTCCTAATGATATTGCAGGATCCAACCGAACCATTGCTTATTTTTTAATTATGGGACCAAATGAATTTTGAATTAATTAATTCCTTAACACAAACAATTAAAGATGTTATTTATTGGACTGAAATTTTTGGTCTGAACAAGCTTCATCTGATGTAATGTTTGACCTTTTTTGTGTTTTATAACTGTCCATGTCTTGTGTGAATCTGATTTTAGTCGAGTAAAAATATCCTAACAAGTACACAAAGTCACAAATAATATTTTTATGTTTCGCATGATTACAAATGTACTCACTTCATAGAGCTATACTTAGTTAATTTAAGATCTATTTACAATTGAAAATAAGGAGAGCCAAAAACTTTCTAGAACTCTAGTTTCCACTACCTACTCCAACACTCTCATTTCCGCCCACAACCACGACTCTCGCCTCCATTGTTGTTGTCACTATCGACACTGGCACCGCCACTTCATGCATCATCGTGTGATCGCCATCAATTTAAACTCCCAAAATTATCATCTTGCTGCATAAAAAAAGTAGGGAAAATGGAAACTAATAATCCAACCTTTTAGCGGTCTTCTTTTAATAGTCCGACTTTTTCGTTACTCATGAATAATCCAACCTTTACACCTCATATTCATACATTGGTCTCCGACCGGTTGATGACCTGCTATTCCGAGTTATTTTCTTATCTCTGCGAACTATTATACCATAAATTCCACCTTTCACAAAGATAATATTTTGCAAAGATAAGAAAATAACTTGGAATAGCAGGTCATCAACCGGTCAGGGACCAATGAATGAAGATGAGGTGCAAAGGTTGGATTATTCATGAATAACGAAAAGGTGGGACTATTAAAAGAAGACCGCTAAAAGGTTGGATTATTAGTTTCCATTTTCCCAAAAAAGTATTCACAACATAAACAAAACAAGTTTGTCATCTTTAATAAAAATGAACATAATTTTGACGATTTGTTTCTTTATACTTTGCAACTGGTGAAGTCAAATTTGTCATAAAATTGGCAATGCTTTCAAAGCAAGGTTAAAAAGAAAAGTTTTCTTGGTGTAGTATAATTTAAAGTATCAAATGAAATTGCCCAAAAAAATGACAAAATGTAAATCCAATATTCAAAAATCAGAAAACCCATATTTTTTTTTATCAAAATAAACAAATTAACGAAATCAGAAACATGAAGCCAATGTCCAAATATCAGAACGGAGGAGGGAATTTATTACAATTGAAAAAACATGAAACATTTGATACTAGGTCTACACTACTTTTCTACCACGAGGAGGGTGGGTCGTAAATCTAAACAAGCAGCTACGGGTGCATGGTAGTAAATCTTGGGGATTGGGATGGGATTAGTAGGTGTAAGGAGCTTACCTTGAGGGAGGGAGGTACTAGGTCTATTAGGTCTACCATAAGCGGGAGGGGTTAGCGTAGACCTAAGGGCCATCCCCTAGGGGTGGGGGGCGTACATGTAAGTGGCTTGCCTCATAGGGAGGTCCGGTGCGATGTCTAAGTGATGGAATATATTCCCATATACCCCAGGGGTATCATTATCAAAAGGTCAAAGACTCTAGTTGCATCATTGTCTGATATGAAGTTCCAGATGAGGTCGACCTCAATGCACGAGGTCGGGTCACGACACAAGGCCACAAATCGACAAAGTATGGAACCACAACCGAGGCCGACCTCGACCTCTGAGGTCGGTGCAACATCGAGCTCACAGATCACCAAGATCAGGCCAGATCTAAAGCCGACCTCGAACATGCCGAGCTCGGCACCAGCTCTGACCTTGGACACAAGCGTAAGTCAACGGGAGTCAACGAATACAAGAAATGACCACCACCAGACAAACTGAAAACTATGACCAAATCCTTTGGAATGAGCTCATTGTACCCGAGCTCCAACATCGCAGAGCTCGAGATCTCACTAGCCAAATATGAACTTAGACATTTCAGCAATCAAGTGTCGCGCAAGCTACGACCACGTCATTTGTGCTATTCGAACGCCACGTCACTCTGCCAGTTAGTATGAAGAATATTCTGGATAACACACGTGTGTTCTGGTGCAATTTTGTTACGCACAGTGCCAATCAGCCAGTTGTCCCAAGTATCTCTTCAATCACCTTTACACATGTCATCATATTATTATACTAGTCCATTAATTCTGTTAGACAAGTGTGACACGTGTTTTCACCACAATATAATAACATCCTTTTTACTTGTTAGCCACGTATTTCTCTTTTAGTATAGAATATCATCTTTCAGTCTGTGGAAAGGTGTATGAAATTCTCTATGCAAACTTGTTGTTACTCTGCTCAAATTTGTACTTGATCTTACTTAACAGTCTCTCCTATTTCCCGGATTCCGGCTACCCCCAGGTTGGCGATCCATCATTTTGATGCTCTCGTTGAGAGATGAACGGTAAATCAAGTTAGATCCTCCTTTTCTCGGATCTATAACAAGCTTTTCACCAACATTAATGGCAGGAGGAAAGAGAATGACCAGAAACAGGCGTGCTGCTACTCCCGTTGCTCAACCTGAGCCATCGATTGAGACCACTGCTTCCTCCGGTCGCCGAGGGTTGCTAAGGGCAAATGGCAGGTTGTCTCGACGCCTGTGGATCTGCGCAACCAGATCCAGCGGAATTCTCCGGATCTCTGCCGCCAACTCTCTCAAAATCGTGATGCAGCGGCAATGCCATCCGCTCAACTGATGCCGCAACTTCAGAATTTTCTAATTGTGGATCCTTCTCCGATGATTGGCGTCCTAATCTCAGGATTGCAACAAATTCTGTCACGCCTCGGACCTACCCGAACACGTCAACAATCCGCCGTACATTACGAATAGTCGACAACAGTCAAGTATATCCACACTATACAAGGCGTCTTGAATATCATTCACACATAGTACATCCATAAACAAACATAATGTAAAAAAAATCATTAAAGCACATAAACAATATTACAAGTGGTCCAGACACACTTGGCAAACTTAGGCAAACTTAGGCAAACAGCCCCCCAAATAATGTATGAGAAACTAATACTCATGAGCATTATTGTAATTGTTTTAAAACATAAATGGAAGAAGCACGAAGCAAGTCTTCCCTCCTAAATCCTTCCTGAAGCAACATGTACTAGTAGCAAGCCCAACATCTACCTGAAATTGTGAGTGGCCTCCCCCGTGAAGGGAGGTTAGTACTTTGAAGCATTTAAAAAGTACAATGACAACTACACTGTATATAATCAATGTTTCAATTCATAAGACCCTCAAATAGGTGAAACGTTCTTCCCTATTCCTCGTGACTACTAGTCACGATCGTCATAAAACCCTTAGGTAGGTCATTAAGCCATCACAGGGCTTTACCCTATTACGTTATCTCACCATCATAGAGCCCCGCTCATTTGTATTACTACACCGTGCTAGAGTCTTGCACATAGTCACTTTACATTGTGGTGGAGTGTCGCTCCTAGTCACTCTACGTTGTGCTAGAGCCTCGCTCTTAGTCACCATTACGACGTGCCAGAGCCTTGCTCTTAGTCACGTTATTCAGTCCCTAAGCAAGTTCTATCACTTCTATGCCTAGAATCAATTTATATTGAGTAGCCTTTAAGTCCTACCCCTAGTATAACTTAAAGTCCATACATTTCCATCTTAAAGTATCTCATAGGACTATTTAGGGCACAACTTCTCACAATCCAACCTTAGGATCAATTATATCATAATTCACACTAACATATTTTAATATTGGTCGGTTAAATCTTAGAACAACCAAGATCTCAATTCATGATCATATAACCAATTCAAACTGAATTTTCAATCAAAATATAATTTATTCTCAATACCCGAAAATCACTTTTATCCATTCATGTATTATTTACATGAAGTAAAAAGTACTTCCTCTGTTCTTTTTTAATTGCAATGGTCAACATTTCACATTTGCCAACACACGCTTTGACCGTAATTATATCATAATCTCTATTACTAAAAAAATATTAATATTCAGATTTTGAAAATTTGTAATGAGATGAATTGAAAAATATTTTTTAATAAATAATTTTCATAAAATAATAGCTAAAAATGTAGTCAAAGTAGAGCATATGAACAGTGTAAAATTCAACATGTTGCGATAAAAAAACGGAGGATAGTAAATTCTATCTCAATGTTTCATAGTTAATTCAACTATCATGTCATCATATTCATAACACATAACACAATTCATTCATAAATTTGTATATCATGCCCCTTTTCTTTCTAGACTATAAAATCAATAAAAAATACATTTAAACGCCTTAGGTAATCTCATGAAATCAACTCACTAATTATAAGCAATATACTCAGTCATCCTCATCTGATGATGTGCTTAATCA